CAGACTCCACAGCTCTGCTCTCCGGAGGAGACGCTTCAGCAGAGATGCCATGCCCTGCTCCCTGGCAGACACACGCGATGAAGGTCCGACCCAGGATGGACATAGGCTAGAATCTTCCCAGTAAGCGCACCTTGGGGTGCTACACACAGATGATTAGAAATGGGCTAAATTAATATGTGAGAATTAGCCTAGAAGAGAATGGGCCAAGCAGTGTTTAAAAGAATACAGTGTCTGTGTAATTATTTCGGGGCATAAGCTAGCCGGGCAGGCGGCTGGGGTGTTGGGGACGCAGCCCCGACGCCCCTTATTACTACACTATCTGCTCCTGACTGTGGATGTGATATGACCAGCTTTTTTTTAAAAAAATTTATCTATTTATTTATTATGTATACAATGTTCTGTCTGCATGTATGCCTGCAGACCAGAAAAATGGTGCCAGATCTCATTACAAATGGTTATGAACCACCATGTGGTTGCTAAAAATTGAACTCAGGACCTCTGGAAGAGCAGCCAGTGCCCTGAACTGCTGAGTCACCTCTCCGACCTCGTGACCAGCTGTTTTAAGCTCCTGCTTCCATGGCCCCTTGCTACGATGGAATGTAGTCTGGAGTCGGAAGATAAATGAATAAACCCTTTCTCCACAATTGTCTCATCAGGGTATGTTCACCACAGCAACAGAAATGAGACTAAGACAGCACCTGAAGAACAACAGCCAAGGCTGACCTGTGGCTATCACATGCATTCCCACACACACATACACGCCTGACACACCGTGCACCCGCACAACTAATACATCCATATACACATATACAGAAAGAAAAGCAATGTGCCTCAAGCACACAGAGGAAACTGAAAATGGTAAAGACAAGGATAAAGAGAGATGTAAAAAGGAGGAGGAGAAAACACGATGATGAGGGAAAATCTTAAAATCACATATAAAATAAATATAAAATAATAATGAGCTGACTCAATACTGAACGAGAAAAGGAGGCATACCTTCCCATAGAACACAGAGGGCAAACTCAGAAAGTCTGATGAATCCTGTACAAAGATGTTTTTATAAATAAAAGAGGTTGGACAAAAAATATATCACTTTTTTAATGCTTCAAAGAATACCACTTAGAAAGTGAGAAGTTGAGGGCTGGCAAAATGGCTCAGTGGTACAGGCACTTGTTGGGCAATCCTGATAACCTGAATTCTATTCCTGGGTCCCTCAGTGAAAAGAGAGAAATGAGTCCTGGTGATTGTCCTCCAATTTCCCTAGGTGTGCTGTGGCATGCACACACTCACATTCACACACACTATAATATATAAAATAATAAAAAATTAAAATAAAATGCAAAATTGGGGCTAGAAATATAGCTTAGTTGTTTGAATGCTTGCCTAGCATACACGAAATCCTGGGTTCTGACCCCCAGCATTAAATAATCAGGGTGTGGTGGTACAAATTCTGGTCTGTGTGCTGTGAATATATTTTATCACCACTGGTTAATAAAGAAACTGCCTTGGGCCTATGGAAGGACAGAATAAAGGCAGGCGGGGAATCTGAAGAGAGATAGAGGAGAAAGTAGGTGGAGTCTGGGAGACGCCAAGTAGCTACCTAAAGAGACAGATGCCTGTTACAGAGAGGGGCCTGCTTGTTTGTCCTAGCCACCAGGCTAGCTTAGCCCCAAAATAACCACACAGAAACTGTATTAATTAAATCACTGCTTGGCCCATTGGCTCTAGTTTCTTATTGGCTAGTTCTTACATCTTAATTTAACACATTTCTATTAATCTGTGTATTGCCACGTGGCAGTGTCTTACCAGGTAAAATTCTAACTGGTGTCCATCTCAGGCAGAAGATCCATGGCTTCTCCTCTGACACTGCTTTCTTCCTCTCAGCATTCAGTTCTGTTTTCCACGCCTACCTAAGTTCTGCCCTATCAAAATGCCAAGGCAGGTTCTTTATTCATTAACCAATAAAAGCAACATATAAACAGAAGGACCTCCTACACCAGGTACCAGAATGTCAGAACCTTATCAGGTAGGCCACAGCCTCATGGTGACACACAGATTAATAGAAATGGGTTAATTAAAAAGGTAAGAGTTAGCTAGAAATATGCATAAGCTATTGGCCAAACAGTGTTATGATTAATAGAGTTTCTGTGTGATTATTGTGGGTCTGGGCAGCTGGGAAATGAACGAGCAGTCTCTGTCTATAAGCCCCAGCACTCAGAAGGCAGAAGTTCAAGACTATTATCAATTATATATACAGATCAAGGCTAGCCCCAAGATACGTGAAACATTGTCTCAAAAAACAAAACAAAAAACAAGTGAACCGTTCAGTCTTTGGAAAGACAATTCCCCTCACAGCAGCCAGAAGGACATGGAGTGTGGACCTAGGGGTCCTCCTACAGCTGTGTTGGGTCTTTGAAGCTTGTAGTTGTACCATCTCCTCTGTCCTGTATCCTATCCCCCTGCCAGCCCTCCTGCCTTCCACCCCGTTGTCTTGGAGTCTGCAGTTCTTTGCACCTGTGTTAGGACGGGAGACTCCCACACTTCCTTTTGAGGTCTCTGGAGCCAGCGAGGTAGCACTCAGAAATGATCTTTGAGATCCACTATCCCTGATGTGTAGGAGGGTGTGCCTGTACTTCTGCTGTTGTTCACATCTCTCTGCCCTTGCTCAACACAGAGTATGCAACATTTTGACATTGGGTCATGGCATTGTCATCTACGATGACACTCAGCCTTCATGTCATCAAGTTACCAAAGAAAACACAAAATCTCATTTCTTTTCATGCCTTAGATAAGCCTGTGATTTTTGTCTTGGGCAGTAAATATGCCTATTCTTGCCCTGGCGCATGCAATCAGTGGGCTGTTGGGTGGACGTGTGTCCTTCCTGGGCTTCTAAGAGGTTCACAAAGGCCAGCAGTGGAAGATGGTGGGGAGGGCACAGGGAGGAGGCACCTGCAGGTTGCCCTCTGGTGTCTCTAAAGAGCCTAGGAGCCTGCTCCGAAGAAAGCAGGGAGGCAGGCTGTGCCTTTGGCGACGGTGATAGGAAAGCTAGATCTGCCTTCAAGAGGCAGAGACTTTCTTTCTCTCGCACTCCCTCATATATATGTGTGTTGGTATGTGGACATGTGCTCAAGTGTATGTGGGCATGTGTGTGCAGGTGAATGTGCACGTGTGTGCACACGCAGGTGGAGACCAGAGGGAAATGTTGGGTGCCGTCCAGGATGACTAGAGACATCCTCTCCACTTTGTTTTCTGAGGCCAGGTTTCTTACTGAGCCCGGCTCTCAACAATTTGATTGGTCCAGCTGGGTAGTTTGCCCAGAGGAGCTGCTGCCTGCCCCACCTGAGCACAAAGGGTCTTGGGCTGCTGTGGAGCCTGACCAGCATTGCTGTCTGCACTGGGGATCTGCTCTCTGCCCTCAGGCTTGTGGGGCAAGCACCTTACTCATGAGCCCTCTCCCAGTTTCCCCTCCTTTTGTGTTCTGGGATCTCTTGGGGTTTGAGAAAAATGCTGTGATAGCCATGGTTTTGCCTGACATGTCACTGTGGTTGAGCAGACCCTGTCTTGCTCTTTAAGTGGGCACCGGGTTCTATCCCCAGGGAGCCCTGATTGATTCCTTTGATGGGAAGTCATTGATAAGCTCATGTGTCAGTCTCAGCAGGCTCCTTTTGCCTTCGTAGATACCTCTGCTGGGGGGACGGGACGGGACGGGACGGGACTGCAGGGTGTTCAGGACTAATGAGGGCATCCCAAACAGGCGTACAGAAGTGTTACGACCTGCAGACCATGCTCAGAGGCCTTTGAACCCCTTCAGTGCTTGATCAAAAGGGCGTTTTGTTTTGTTCCTGCTGTCTAGGAATCCAAAACTGTCCAAGAAGAGGACTGGGAATCTCAAGCTTGGGTCCAGGGACCCAGGAGAGAAAAGAGCCAATTAAGACGACAGGAATCAGAGTCGGGACCTCCAATTCCATCCATAGTGGGAAGCTGTTGCCATGGTCCCAGAACCTCCTGCCTTTTGCCTGACGTTGTGCATAGGCCATGCTTTGGAGGACGGAATCCTGGTTTATGCCCAGAAACCCAGAAGACTTTTGAGGTCCTGCCTCCAATGTTGACTGCAAAATGATGTGAAAGACAGGAAAGTTCCAGTTTACACTTCTGGGAGAGGCTTCAGAAATGTGCACAAAATTTAAAATATATATATGAAGCAAATTCTTTTTTTTTACTTTTTTTTTTATTGAGAAAAGGAAAAAAAAACAAATTTCCTCCTCCTCCCAGCCTCCCATTTCCCTCCCCCTCCTCCCACCCTTCTCCCCCTCCTCCCACCCTTCTCCCCCTCCCCCCACTCCTCTCCCCCTCCCTCTCCAGCCCAAAGAGCAGTCAGGGTTCCCTGCCCTGTGGTAAGTCCTAGGTCCTCCCCCCTCCGTCCATTTCTAGGAAGGTGAACATCCAAACTGGCTAGGCTCCCACAAAGCCAGCACATTACGTAGGTTCAAAACCCCGTGCCATTGTCCTTGGGTTCTCATCAGCTCTCATTGTTCGCCATGCTCAGAGAGTCCAGTTTTATCCCATGCTTTTTCAGTCACAGTCCAGCTGGCCTTGGTGAGCTCCCAATAGATCAGCTCCACTGTCTCAGTGGGTGGGTGCTCCCCTCGTGGTCCCGACTTCTTTGCTCATGTTCTCCCTCCTTCTGCTCCTCATTGGGACCTTGGGAGCTCAGTCCAGTGCTCCAGTGTGGGTCTCTGTCTCTGTCTCCATCCATCTTATTTTGTAGCCCAGACTGGCCTGGAACTTACGCCGCACTCTCTTGCACCATCACAGGTGTATGTGGATGAACTATCAAAAAGAGGGGTTTTGGAGTTCCTTGACCTGGCTTTGAGAAGCCAGGAGGTTGTGGTGGAGTGACCGCAGGAAGACTCCTCTTCTGGTTGGTTGCAGAAGGGGTAGGCGGGACTTGTGAAAAATTTAAAGCTCAAACTGGCCCTGCCCTCCTGCAAGCACGGTTTTTTATCCCCTTGGTTCTGCACCCAGAGCCCAGGCAAATCTTCAGGACCCACCTCCGTGATGCACCGACTGCAGGTAGTGCTGGGACACCTGGCCGGCAGGCCCGAGTCGAGCTCCGCGCTGCAAGCCGCACCCTGCTCCGCGGGCTTCCCGCAGGCCTCGGCCTCCGACGTGGTGGTGGTGCACGGACGGCGCACCCCCATCGGCCGTTCGGGCCGTGGCGGCTTCAAGGTGAGACCCCTCCTACGGGCGAGGGTAGCAGAAGGCGGCCAGTGCGATCTTGCCCGCTGGACTACGGTGACCGCAAAGTCCCCGGGTGGGGATGCGGGAGCTGGGCTCACTGCAGCTGCGCTTCGCCCTGCAGGACACCACCCCAGACGAGCTTCTGTCGGCTGTGTTGACCGCGGTTCTCCAGGACGTGAACCTTAGGCCTGAACAGCTGGGAGACATCTCCGTGGGTGAGCTCACCTGCCAGGCCCGCGCCGGGTCCTCCTCGCCCTCCCTCCCGGGGCCCTTCTCTATACAACACAGACTTGAGTTTACTGAGGGGAAGGGCTGGACCACAGAGAGATCTGAATGAAACTGCTCCTAACAGCCAGTCTTCAACCTAGAACCTTGGGCGCCCCCTCGAGGCACATCTGCCCACTGAGTGGACACGGAAAAGCAGGAAGGCCCTGAGATAGATGCTCTAAAGCCCAGATATTCTTGGAGACTCCAGGAGGTGGGAGGCCACGGTTCTTCACCTACACCGACATTCTGTCTGTCAGCCCAGCTACAGGTGTAGACAGGGTTCACCTGGCCCCGCCCTAACCTCCGCGTTTCCCTGAATTAGAACAACATCGTGTAGGACATGGTTCTATCCGGGGATGCCAGCCTGTTCCTCCTCCCGCGGTGACACAGGGCTTGGGGGAGGACACTTGGGGAGGCTAGCCATTGCAGACTCGCTCCCTCCCCCACAGCCCTACTTCCCTCAGCTCAAGACTCTGCACTGTGCCTCTTACCCTAGAGGCGCTCTCCTGTTGCCAGGCGAGCAGGCCACCTGCCCAGCTTGCTGATGTGGAGGAGCATGCCTTGGCACGCATGTTGGAGGCCCTCCAGCGCTGGGCTGGTGAGTGATGGGCGGTTGGTAGCTGGCTCCTCGTTCCTCAAGCTCAGCCACCACAGCTCACATGAACCTCTCTGCAGAGGCCTTAGATTCCTGGAGAGATCTGCAATGGGACATCTTTTTTTACCTTAGGCTTCAGGACAACCCTCTCCCCCCCCCCCCCCCCCCCGCACTGAGTAAGGGTTCTTCTGTCCACAGGCAATGTGCTTTTGCCAGGGGCCGGAGCCGTTACAGCACGCATCGCCCAGTTCCTGAGGTAATCCTTCCCATTCTGCCTCGAATTGTCCACCATGACTGCTGGGGTTCCTGGTGCTGGAGTGTGAAGTGGAAGATCGGGCTGGAAGAAGATATTGAGGCAACCAGAGGACATTGAACTCTGTCCTGTGACTGTAACCTTTTCCCTACTTAAAGGGGGTGTGTCACTGGGCCGACTTGTATCACTGGGCCGACGGCCAAGGCACCCAGGGCTTGGGGACCAGGGCAGAGCAGTGGCCTAAATTTTAAACAAAGCTGACTTAACAGAGACCCTTTAGTGGGTGGAATCACATGACCAGGACCGGGCAGTGTATGTTTCCCCTCTCAGGTGAGCATCTGGAAGTCCAGGCTTGGCCCGTCATCAGTGGCTGGGGGTGATATAGCATGGGGTGGGGAAGAGCCCTGGTCCTCCCAAGACTGCAACCAGTGGTTCATTCACTGCCACTTGGGTACTGAGGGCCTCTTTCCCTCAGTCCTTGCTGCGTGGGCTGGAAATAATAGCAACACTGGCCAGTGGCAGAGTGACTGGCAACTTAGGGTCAGACTCGGCCTGGGGTTCAAGCTCTCCACGCCTCTCACCAGTATGGCCGGAGACTCTTGACTCCAATCAGCTGGTTCAGTGGTCCACGGGCTGTCTGCCTGCTTCTCTCTTCCCTCTGCCCATTCTGCCCCCATGGGGTGCTGGCCAAGCCAGCTCTCCTTGCCCTGGCTAAACCTTACCCAAATATACCCAAGCTCTCAGGCTTCAAGTGATGTAGTTCTTGCTCAGCACATGGCCTCGTTTCTTCCTATAGTGTGGTTTTGGCATGAGGTCCTACTGTTTGATTCTCTCTGTGTGTTGGTGTGTCCACTAAACTCAGTCAGTGCTCTCGGTGCCTGCACACCAGAACCATCCTAATTCCTATGTGCTTGTTCTCTGGGGTTCTTGGTGTGTCAGTCAATGACCTGGGATGGATGCTCCTAGGTCTTTGCCATATTGGAAGGAAGCTCCAATAGCCTGAATGATTGAACCCGGGGCACCCCAGAGCAAGGAGTGGAAGAATGAACATGCCAGTGGGGAAACAGTCCACAGAGGAGAAAACTGGACACACTGGGCCAACTCTGTGGTTACTAGGCAGGCCAAGGGATGGGGCTGAATGGCAGTCCGATGTTGGCTGCAGCGGTTGTGCCCTAGCCCAGCCATAGACCCACTTCTTTATCCTGAGGGGTCCAAGAAATGGCTGGTGGAGGAAGGAGATGGCCTGTGGCCCACAACATTGTCTGTGATGGGAACTGTAGGACAGGTGATGGGGTGCCTGGGGGCTGTGGGGAGTCAGGAACTGTGCAGACAGGCGTGCTCAGCATCCACTTCTGCAAATATGGAGCTGCGCCCGTGGGGGCAGGCGCCCGTGGGGGCAGGCTTCCCCGTTGTTCTGATCTGTGCACACACTGCTGGGGCTCTCATGGGGCCCAGAAGTGTAGTGGGCTTCCTGTGAGACACTGTCACGTCCAGGGCTGACTGCCATTTTCCCTGCTATTTCAGTGGCATTCCAGAGACGGTACCTTCGTCTACCGTCAACAGACAGTGTTCATCGGGGCTGCAAGCAGTGGCCAACATCGCTGGTGAGTTGTGATTGCTGGTTGCACAGGAGTGGACCCTGTCCTTGGTCTTTGCCCCCCAGGACCCTAGGCAGAGAGGAGTGGAGGAACACCCATTGCCACACCCTATTGTGGAGTATGTGTGATGTCTGTTTATGCTCTGGGATATTACTTTAACTGTACAAAGGTGTGTTACCTTTGTTTCTGCTGCATTTGTTAATTATATAAAGTGTTTCACCTGCCTAGGGTACCTGATTGACCTAATAAAAAGCTGAATGGCCAATAGCTAATCAGAGAGAGAGAAAGAGGGATAGGTGGGGCTGGCAGGTGGGGAGAATTAATAGGAGAAATGTAGGCTCAAGAGAAGAAGAGGAAATGAAAAGGAGAACAGGAAGGAGAGAGAGATGCCTGTGGCAAGAAGCCAGGCAAGTGCCAGCCTGCCAGACTCTGGAATAAGCAGTGAAAGTAAGACATACAAAAAAAGAAAGAAAGAAAAAAGGAAGAAAGAAAGAAAGAAAGAAAGGAAGGAAGGAAGAAGGAAGCCCCGAGGCAAAGGGTAGATAAAGAGAAACAGGTTAATTTAAATTAAAAGAGCTAACCAGAAATGAGCCTAAGATAGGCCAAGTATTCAAAACTAATAAAAGTCTCTGTGTCATGATTTGGAAGCTGAGTTGCTTGGTACAACACGCCAAATCTTTTCTGGGTGCTCCTGGGTCTTCTGTGAGGCTTTGGTGACTGTACCCCGAGAGCAGGGAGGGAACGGGCTGTGCTGCTCCAGGGCAGGCCCACTCTGGCCAAGGATGGTTATGAAGTGCTTTTGTTGCAGGTGGCATCAGAAATGGGTCTTATGACATTGGCATGGCCTGTGGGTAAGATGGTCTTCCTGCTGGACCTGATTAACCCATGCAATTAATCAAACTAATCTTCCTCTCCTCAGCCATGATTCTCCCTGCCCACCACAGCAGCTCACTGGGCTGGACTCATACAGATGCAGCCTAGTTGTTGTTGAAGCTATAAGCGTAGTTGTCTCTTTCATTCTTTCTTGCAAATCTGATTGTCACCTTGCAAATCTGCAGCACTTGGACTTTGCCTGTTGTGCTGGCTGATTTCCTATGCTCCTGAGGGAGGTGGCAGAGCAGGATCCCTCGTCAGGGACATTTGCTTATAATATAAACATTCATCTTCCTAGCCTGTTGCCTTGTCTGCCACTCTAACACCAAGGGAGAAATTCCATCTGAGACTCTGTTCTGAGGGACATGGTGAGACCTCTGCTCACTGTCTCCTCCATGCAGACTGCCCCTTTGTTTCTGCCTCTGGGGAAAAGGGCTCCAGAAGTTACACCTGGATCCAGGAAGGAACATCCGCTGTTGGAAGACAGCCTAGGTGTGCCTGGAAGCTAGCCTTGGCAGGCTTTGGAGCGAGCTGCCCCAGGTTCTGTAGAAGAGCTTTGATAGGAAGCATTGCTAGGTCCGGGCTGCCTGCGCTGGGTTTTCCTGACCCATGTGTTAAAGTCCACAAACAGGGACTATGGTAGGCAAGGGTCACAGTCATCTCCTGTGTCCATAGCGAGAACAGCAGCTGAGGTGGCCTGAGGGGACAGGCTGGGGCTCCACGAGGACCATGGTGCCGGAGACAGAGCAGCTGTGCCTGGGGGGTGCCCACATCACCTGACCAGCCCCTAGCTTCTGAGAGTGCAGCTTGCCCAGGATTGAGCTGTCGAGTTGGGTTCACGCTGGTGACCATGACCAGTTTCCTCCTTGCCAGGCCTTCACATCCTCACCCCACCTCAGCTCTGTGGACGCTGTAGAATGATTAGGTAGAGACACAACTACTGCTGGCTGTGGGGCTTGTGTGATTCAGTCACACTGTAGACAAGTTCTCATGCCTAAACAGGATTCAGACAACAGCCAGGGCTGTAATCCCAGCTGAAGCAAGGGGATTCATGATCAGGGCCCGCTGGAGCTACTTAAAATCTGGGACTGAGACTGTCTCAAAATGAGACTAAGAAGAAAATTAAGGCCAAGAGATAAGCATAGCAATGTAGTGCACATGTGAGGTCCTGTAACTAGCACCCGGTCCTCCCAAAAAGAACAGAAAGGGTTCATGTTATGCCAAAGTCGGGGAGAACTTAGCCAGGGCTGCTGGTCATCATTTGACCTCATGGCCACCTCCCCAGCAATGTCTGGTCCCTCTGCACGGACCACCCGGTCTTTTTCTCGGCCATCCCACCTACTTGCCAATCGACGCAGACCAGGGCTTTCTTTGATGTAAACTTAGTGTTCGTCATATCTTGCTTCTCTCTCTCTGACTCGGGGACACTAAGGCTGCTGAATCAGGCTGATTTGATATGTCCCGCATTAGAGGGACAACCAGAAGGTCATCCCTGGGAACCACTGCTCACTTAACTCAGCAATGCACCATACAGCAGGACCCCAGAGCTGGGTCTGGGTCTGGGACAGTGCTGTCTGGGGCTGGAGGGAAAAATGGCTCGGCCACTGCAATCCCTGCTCGCTGGCCAGGTACCTGCTGCATGCCTGGAGGGATCTCCCGCTATTTATTGCCCAGTACTTGCCACACAGCTGGCCATCCCTGGGGCTTCCTATTAGGTAGGGCTGAGAGCTCACTCCTTTTCCTCAGGGTGGAGTCCATGACCATGTCTGAGAGAGGGAACTTTAGGAACATTTCTTCACGCCTGCTGGAGAACGAGAAGGCCAGAGACTGCCTGATTCCTATGGGGTGAGTGTCCACAGGTGGCTCTGTGTGTGTGCCCGTGTGCATGAACACACGTGTGTGCATGCGTGTGCATGTGTGCGTGCGTGTGCCCATTCACCACTCTGTCCTCAACCAGAGACCATGGGATTTTCCCCTCTGTGGCTGGTAATGCCTGGCCTCGAACCCTTCACCTCCGTCCTTTGAGTACTATGTACCTGATCAGCAGGGACTGGGTATGGACTGACAAAATCCTTGGCTTTCCTTTCTTTAAACGCTTGAGTCCTATCTGAGCCCCTTAGTACCCAAACATTTCCCATGTTTCCCCTCCCCCACCCCAAGGTGCCCAGGCACAAGGAGAATGGTGCCAGATGTCCCGCCAAACCCCTGTTGAGAAGGATGTGGGGAGCGCTGAAGTTCTGAACATGCTTGCGGGGACTCAGGCCTCTGAGATGTAGTCTGGGAAATTGCTCTCTACACCTCTGTCAGCTACAGTCATATCTGTGATCTCTGGACTTTGCCAACATCCAGGGGCAGGGATCCCTGGTTGCGCAGCCATACAGAGAAAAGCTTGCAGTGGGCAGTGATCTGGCTTTGTCCAGATCCTCTCTCCAGAGGCAGCTTGGAGACATAGGAGAAGTTGACCAAGTGTGGCCAGTTAGTGCACCCAGCATGTCCTCTGGTCCGCTCCTGGGGATGCCACTGGGTAGGAGGCCATGCCTTCTGCAGGCCTCACACACAGGCTGTTGGCCCCCTATAAAGAATGTTTCCTTTGGTATGTGCCTCTGAGGATTTGACCAGCGGGGGTGCTCCTCACTAAGACAAGACAGGAGTACCACCTTCTGAGAACTTACTTCTGTCCCTGGGGCATGGACTAGATATCCTACCTCTGACCCGGATGCCCAGAGGTGCAAGTGTAGGCCTTTAGTACGGCCCTGGCCCTCAGGCCAGCAGACCCATAGCCTCCTGCTTTGCTGTTTGTGTCTAGGATAACCTCGGAGAATGTGGCCGAGCGGTTTGGCATTTCACGGCAGAAGCAGGATGCCTTTGCTCTGGCCTCCCAGCAGAAGTGAGTATGGCTGGGGTGGGCTATTGATGGGGTGGAGAGTAGTCTCAGCTGGGGCTGTCAGGATGGCACAACAGTGTTGGCTAGCCTCATGCCTCTGGGTGGGAGGTGGAAACGTTTCACTGTTGGGTAGGTCTTCCCAGTCCTTTTTTAACCATACACTCTGAGGTCTGAGTGTCCTCTTCCAAGCAGGACCTCAGCCCCTCCCCCACTCTGTTCTTTGGGACATAAGGCATAGGACCCTGTTCTGACCGACATGGTGGTCACTGGTGATACTTAAGCCTGGAGTATGCTAGTCTTCCTAGCATAAGAGGCAGATCTGGGCCTGGAGTGGTGACCTCGGGCTGCCATTCAAGAAAACCAGAGCCTCAGGCCTGTGGGAAGCACCAGCATTATTGTGGAGGAGCGCACTGAGCAGACTGAGTGGCCAATGCATAGAGAACCCTGAACAGAAGGACACCTCTGCGTATCCTGCTCTCTGTTGGGATGGGATGCAATGAAGAATCTAGGAATCTGGGCATGCCTCTCCCTCTCGGAGGAAAGTGGTGTCCTGAGGAACCTTCAGCAGTCTCTCACAGCTCCATCGGGGGAGTGTGGGGGTGCACAGCAGTCCCTGGGTTGGAACAGCCAGGGGCTGTGTGTCTTGCTGAGTTAGCAAAGGCCAAGCAAAGGCAAGAAAAGACTACAATCTGGCCTGAGATTCGCTGTCCATGGTGCTGGCAGGGCCGCCAGAGCCCAGAGCAGGGGCTGTTTCCGAGCTGAAATCGTGCCTGTGACAACCACAGTCCTTGATGACAAAGGCAACAAGAAAACCATCACGGTGTCCCAGGATGAGGGCGTCCGTCCCAGCACCACCATGGAGGGCCTGGCCAAGCTGAAGCCGGCCTTCAAGGATGGAGGCTCTACCACAGCTGGTGAGCGTGGGCTGGGAATAGGACTGATAGAGGTGACCAGTTCTTCTCTGAGACGTGGAGCTGACCAGGCCCCTTGGCAAGGTGACGGTGGAGGGCTGGCTCTCTTCAGCTCAGTCTGAGGCCTCCTCATCTCACCCTTCCTCCCCTAGGAAACTCCAGTCAGGTGAGTGATGGAGCAGCTGCCATCCTGCTGGCCCGGAGGTCCAAGGCTGAAGAACTGGGCCTTTCCATCCTTGGGGTCCTGCGATCCTATGCAGTGGTCGGCGTCCCTCCTGACATCATGGGCATCGGTCCTGCCTATGCCATCCCTGCAGCCTTGCAGAAAGCAGGTGAGCGGCCCTTACTCATCCTGTACCTGGACCTCTTGTTACCTGTATCTGGGACTAGGGTGTGCTGGGTTTGACCTGTGGGTGCTCTGGAATGGAGGTGGGTCAGGCTAGCACCCCACAGCCAAGGCCTCCCTACCCTACCATTGGGACTCACTCGCCTGGCACACAGTGGACCACGAGAGCTGTGCTTGGGGTGGAGTCCAGAGGAAATCCAGAGTCCCGCCATGACTGTCAGCTCTGCTCTGTATCTTGCCTGCAGGGCTGACTGTGAATGACATAGACGTCTTTGAGATCAATGAGGCCTTTGCCAGTCAGGTGAGCCTGGGTGTCTGATGGGATCAATTGGGCCCGGGGTTCAGAGCAGATGGAGGCTCCAGCCATTGCTCTGGCTCCTTCCAGGCCCTCTACTGTGTAGAGAAGCTGGGAATTCCTGCAGAGAAGGTGAACCCCCTGGGGGGTGCAATAGCCCTGGGCCACCCCCTGGGCTGCACCGGTGCAAGGCAGGTCATCACGCTTCTCAATGAACTGAAGCGCCGTGGGAAACGGTAAGGCTGCTCCTTGTGGAGTGGTGTGGGGGGTGTTGGAGCTGGGGTGTCTAATGGCTGGGGCCTGGAGAGGTGAGTGCGCACACATGCACAGGTATTCTGATGTAGGGATGGAGGGGTGAGACCTGCCTTCCTGATGGCTTGCTTAAAAGGCAGCATAACCTGTGGAAGTGTCTGCCGCCTGGCTTGTGTCTGTCCACGGCTCAGTTCCCACAGATCTGCTCTGCTCATCTGTCCATGAGCCCTTGGTGCTGCAGCTCTGCCTGGTGAGGGCACGGCTTGGGCAGGCGCTGTGCAGCCAATGCAGGCTCTTTCCCCAGGGCTTATGGAGTGGTGTCCATGTGCATCGGGACAGGGATGGGAGCCGCTGCTGTCTTTGAATACCCTGGGTACTGAAGCCCTGACTGCGGGCACTGCCCAGAGAGTCCTACAGTGGTAGCCAGAGGGGGACTCTACGGAAGCCATCCGCATGGGACACTGAGCACTGGAGGGTGTATCACAGAACTTTAATCTAGATAATGTGATCGTCGCAATATGGGGACAATTGGGCATCGGGTCATCCAGTCTGGTCCTCTCAACTGGACTGCAGGACCGCATGTATTTCTGTGGGACAGTGGCCTCGTGAACGATGGTTATGATGGGCAAAGTAAATGTGTCTTATCTGATTCCGTGTCAGTCCTTTCACTCCCCGTCCAGCTCTGGCTTTGCTGGAATCTGTGGCCCATCTTCCTAGTGATGGTGATCATAGTCACCCAGCTGGTGGCCTATGCTGGTTAGCCCTGGAGACAGCAGAGCCTCAGAACTGGTGGGGTATCACATATCTCTCATCGTAAGAGCCTCGGCCCCGCAACCGCAGGGTGCAAGGCTTCTCACTCAGCACCCCTTCCACCACCAGCGTGGATTCGTACAGCAGGCTGCTCCTGGGGAACGGGGGGGGGGGGGGGAGGGAGGTTAGGCAGTGCTGGCCAGTGCCCAGGCCCCATGGGCGGTGTCCCAGAGGCAGGAAGCAGCTCTTACCTAGGATTAAAGAAGACCTCAAGGGGGATGGAAACTGGGGGTGCATTGGTGGGTCGGGCCTCCAGCAGGCCACTGCCTGGGGAGACCCCAAAGGCATTATCCTCCCTGGCTGGTTCCTCCTGTCCTACACCGAGAAGAAAAGAGGCCATACATGGGCACAGGCTGCTCCAGACGTTGTCCCCGAGACCAGACCAGTCTCTCAGGTGTCACCTCTGGTCCTCCCGGCAACCCAGGACAGGGCAGCCGGAAACTGGAGGACTGGTGGACTCCGTGAGTGTCCGGTGCCACCAGCCCTGGGAAGCCAGTCGACATGGACAGGACGCTACTGTCTTTCTTAGGGGTCTTGCTCGGGCCCATCGAGGAGCAGCAGAATGTGGGGGTGACAACGTACCCATTATCACTGTCCAGTAGCTCAGGCAGTTGCTGAGGTTCGTGAGGTAGACCTCCCGGGTGTGTGGCTGGTTCACGAAGCAGGTCCCGAAGTCTACCCAGCTGGTGGACAGCTGCAGTGCTGGTACAGCCACGAGAGCCCGCAGGGGCACCTCCTGGGAGCCCAAGCCCGTGTCTCAGTGAGGGACACAGGGAAACCCACCTCCCCCGAGTACTGACACTTCTCAACAGAGCTGGGGTAGAGGACGGTGGGCAACCAGGGGTTTGGCACTGCCACCCAAGCCAGGCAGGTGGAATCCGGCAGGGCCAGGGGACACCCTCGGCTTCTCTACCAACCTTCCTCCCATGGTCAGTCAGCCGTCCGACCCCCATCACCTTCCCTCCTCCCAAGGGGTTCATCAGACCCCGAGCCAAGGCCCCCAGAAGTTCACGAATCACTCAGGCACTGGCGTGGTCAGCTTCACTATGGCCCCCGGCTCCTGCCAGTTTCCAGACCGCAGGCCTCTACTACCCTCCTCTACTCCTGGTCCCTCTGTCATCCCACAAGGTCTACACGTTAGCTCTCTGCTTGCATCCCCAGCTTGACTCCCTCGGCTCCATACTGACCTGTGTGTGACCCGCTCAGTGGCACTCTAAGCTGTAGGGAGCCAGGCAGTGTCCCTCACGGCTTCCTCGGTGCTCACTGTCCCACCAATCATCCCTACCCTAGGTCTCTCTGTGTCATTTCCAGGCTTCACTGGCCACCTCCTCCAGGGAGCACCCTGGATTTTCCCCTCCAGCCCGTCACCCATGGGACAGGGTGTCATATTCCTCCCCGGGGGGTGGAATTGGCAGGAGTGGACGCCCAGCATGTGCCTGGAAGGTCTGGTTGGTGAAGCCCAGGAGCAGATTCCCTGTGAACACCATCTGTTTCTCTCCGTCCTCGCTCTGCTGAATGTCCACTCCGGGCAGCATCTGGTCAGCTGGGAGCTTCTGGTAGGACAGCAGCTCCAGGGAGAGGGAGAAGGACACATCCACCTGAGCGGGTGTGGACACGGTGTCACCCCAGGTTGCTGAAGGCAGGTGGCCTGCCCGTCCAGCCAGGTCCTGTCCGACCCCCAGTTTATGGGGCTTGTGGAGCCCAGAGTGGCCCCGCTGCCCAGCACATGGCTCAGCAGTGCCCCCGCGTGGAGCATGTGGTTTCCATGCCCTGTACATGTCTGTTGTGTGTGCAGCACCTGGCACATGAGAAGGGAGGGAGCGTGGTGTGAAGCAGGGACGCTCACCAGTGTGCACTGGCCTCCACCTGGCTGTCGGCAGTGGTCCATAGGGACACACACTGGCGGGTCTGGACAAGTTTCTGGGATGTATGTGGCTATGTGCAGTAGGTTCATCTGTGTGTAACCTGTGCAGAGGGACTCGGTGTGTCGAAAGGGACATGTCTGGGGCATGCACCTAGGACTGTCCATTTGTACCTGGTGCTCAGATGTGAGCAGGACATGGGTGTGTGTTGCCTGTGGAGTGGGGGTAGAGATGGTGAGCCCCTGCACTGACCAGCATGTTCTCCTGTGGGCGGAGGGCCAGCTGCGGGCCCGAGGAGGCCATCTCCTCTTCACACTGCTGCTGGTGACTGGCCCCACCTTGAGAAATGAAGAAGGGCCTTGAGACTAGGACCCGGAAGTAGTGCAGGATTTCCGTAGTGTTGATCAGTTTCAGATGGCGGGTGATAAGCCGGTCACTCAGCACCTGGGGCCACGGGAGGAGGGGGTGGGCATGGTGCATCCCTTCCCAGTCCTCAGGCTGGGACTCTGGGAAAAGGACTCATGACTTGAAGGACCCCCAGGCACATGGGAGGTCCAAGTCCTTTGGCTGGTGCAGGGTGACATCACACTCACCCCACAGCAGGGATCTTTCGGGATGAGGTCGCTGGCCTGGCACCGGAAGTCCAAGTAGCCACTGCTGTCCAGCTCGGTGTCCAGCCTGCAGAGCGACAGGCACCGCTCAAGCAGCTAGGATCTGGGTCCCGCAGCATCCCGTCCCTGGCCCTGTCCTTTGACTCTGAAGTGAGGTTCCTCTCTCCAGGAGATAGGGGCAGGGAGGGAGATCCACTGGACTCACTGTGCCCGCCTCACGTAGCCATTCAGCTCCAGTCTCAGGGGGCCCACGGCGAAGTCCTGAAGGCGGCGCATTCGGCCTGGAATCTCTCTCTCGGACTGCAGAGCCCAATCCGTCAGAGGTCACTGGTGGTCCCCGGGGGGGGGGGGGGGGCTGAGCAGGCAGTGTGACTCCCAGGGGGAGAGGAGCTGGCCATGGCACCCTCACCCCGGGTGGGAAGGCTCACCTCCTTATCCAAACTCATGAAGCCCAGGGCGTAGCCGGCACACTCCACCTTGTGTAGAATGTCAAGGCCGAGCACCATGGGTGTGAAGGAGATGTAGAGGGTGCGGTGGCCGCCCGCCGGGATGACCTGGTAGAAACACAGTAGCCTCAGCGCTGTCCCGTGTTCACCAGCGGGCCTGCCGGGGCAGCTCCATCAGAGAGCGCCCACCCCAGCCTACTCACCACCTGCTTGGGGCTGATATGGTACATGTTGCCAGAGGGCACCCCCTCGTGCCCCTGCAGGATGACTGAGATGATCTGCTCTTGGGCCTTGGCACCGCCACTGCAGTTACCCTGCTACCGATGAGACGCGGAGGTTCATGTGGGCTCAGCTGACCTGGGCCACGTCTCACACGCCCTGTACCCCTGCTCACCGATGAGGGGACTGCATGGCTAGACACTGACGCATTGGAGGGACATGGGGACTCTGGTGAGCTGCCTTCAGAGGTCTCAGGGCACACGAGCTCGTTCCCGGCTTGGTCCCGCAGTGGGAAGAGTGGCCCATAAAACACAAGCAGCTCCAGCAGCTGGTCCTCCTTTTTCTCTGGGATGTAGGTCTCCCAGTCCAGGCGGATGTCTGGGGGAAGCAAGGAGGACAAAGGAGAGTGGGTGGTCTTCCCCTGGCCTCCACCTCCCTAGACTCCCGTTCTCATGGTGGAGGGGGCCCTTGCTATTTTTATAATGCCGTAGTTCTAGAAAGTAGTTCTTGGGGATGGGTAGCGGATTCAGTTGCTCAAGTGCTTGCTGTGTGCGCTGGTTTGTTTTTGTCAACGTCCCAAACTAGAGGTGCCTGGGAAGAGGGGACCCCAGTTGAGAAACAGCCCCCATCAGTTTGGCCTATGGGCATGTCTATGGAACATTTTCTTGATTAATGATTGATGTGGGAGGGCCCAGTCCGCTATGTGCAAGGTCGTCACTGGGCAAGCAGTCCTGAGTTGTATAAGAACACAGGTTGAATAAGCCAAGAGGAGGAAGCCTGTACACAGTGCCCCTCCACAGTCTCTGCCTCCAGGTTCCTGCCTTGAGTTTCTGCCCTGCCTTTGCTTGGTAATGGACTGTGAACTGTTGTGTGAAATAAACCCGTTCCTTCCCAAGTGGATTTTTCTTTCCATGCATTTTATCAAAGCAGCTGAACGCCATCTAGACACACTGTGGACACATGAGGACTTGAGTCTGGACCAGATCACTTGAAAAGCCTGGTGTGGTAGCACACACTTGTAACCCCAGCTCTGAGGAGACAGAGGCAGCCCTGGGAATGCTGAGCCAGTCTGGGCATCCTGGTGAGTCCTGGGACAGTGACAGACCCTGTTTCAAGCAGCAAGGTGGGTGGCACCTGAAGAGCCAAGGAAGCACCCAAGGCTGCCTTCTGGCTTCTCCGCACGTGGGCACACACTCATGTGAGCACACCTGAACACATGTGCACCCATACACATCAACACGCGCGTGCGACAGACGCATACAGGAACATAAGCGGTTCTCTGCAGGCTTCTTGGCACCTGGCTCAGTTACCTGATGTCCTCATGGTTGGTCACAAGACCAGTCTTCATATCCAAGTCCCTGAACCTAGGATCTCCTGACTTCCTGCAGTTTCCTGTCCCTTTGTTTCTGTCTGATGGTTGACCCTCCAAGTCATACACCCTCCATTCCACACCCATCCATCGACCCTGGTCTGTTTTCACTTCCTCCCCAAGTCCCCAAATCAAGCTAACCTTCGTGGCCATCTTCCTAGCAACTCTCTACCTCCCTTGGTACCTCATCCTTCTACCCACAAGGCAAAGCCCAACTCTGGATAAAGCAACTGCATCATCCCTCAATAGCACTGGGTAAGTCCTCCAAGCTGAAGAGAGTGCACCCCCATTGCTCCCCCACCTGGGCTGCCACACTGCCCTCTTTCCCATGC